ACCAGTGGACCGCCGGTCTACCAGTGGACCGGTCTACCAGAGGACCGGACCGCCGGTCTAGCAGTGGACCGGACCGCCGGTCTAGCAGTGGACCGGACCGCCGGTCTACCAGAGGACCGGACCATCAACAGTCGGTCAGAGAAAGAGTAGAAAAACAACAAAGACCTTGAGCGTGTCCCTCGCCATGACGCCCATCAGGTGACCCGACCCGTAGTGAATCCCAAACATCCGACCATCGTGACGAAACGACGTCGACTCAAACGCCTTGAATCTGTGGTGCAGAGCTGGAAGAACCAGGAGGAGAGACGTGACCGACCAGTGTGTGTGTGTGTGTGTGTGAGTGTGTGAGTGTGTGTGTGTGTGAGTGTGTGTGCGGTACCACAGGCCTCGCTGACGCAGTAGACCGACGGCACCCACAGATCAGCTGAACCAGTGTCGAAGACCACGGTGAAGTTCTGCTCCGGCGTTCCCAACCTGATCTCACCGTAGAACTGAGCCTGACGTCAGAGGGACACACACAGCTGATGAACACACACTTCCTGTGGTTCTGGTCCATCAGAACCTGGATCATCTGAGGTTCTTCCTCCTTACGTCCATGAAGTTGTAGATCCTCTCGCTGGAGCGGCCCAGACGCAGAGAAGGAGTTCCTGCCGGGAAACACTGAGCGTAACGGCGGTTAAAGGCGTCGGGTCGGTGGTCCCTCAAGAACTCCCCCAGGAGACCCCTGGTCCGCAGCCGGGAACGAACGGAGGACATCCGTCTCAGAGGGATCCTGAAAGCAGAACCGGAACCAGAACTTTGTGTTTGTGTTCGGTCAGCAGTTACGGATCTGTTTCTCCTGGTTCTACCTGACGACGGCCGAGCTCGTCCACGTCCAGCACAGCAGAACCAGAACCAGAACCAGCAGCAGCAGCACCAGCAGCCTCATGGTCTCAGTCTGAAGAAGTGATCAGTTCACACGGCGTTTTATCAGACCAGAGCGTGTGGTCAGGGTCAGGGTCGGGGTCAACGACCTCTGGATGTCAGGCCCCAGTCACCCTGACCCGGTCATCAGTCTGGAGCCGCAGCGTTGGATCGTCCACTTCGTCTACAGTCACAGAATTAATAAGTAATTCATTAAACTAACCCCCCCCCAACACACACACACACACACAGAGAGACACACACACACACACACCAAATCAAAGGGAACCTTTGATGTCGTCTGGTTCAATTTTGTTTATTCATTTTTTTATTTCAGTACAACAAAGTACAGCAGCGTAGCATTAGCTCGTGCTAACATTAAAGTACAGCAGCGTAGCATTAGCTCGTGCTAACATTAGCCTAACTAAGAACCACTGACCATCACAGCTGTTCTGTTTAAGGAGCAGGAGCCCTGAGGTCAGCTCTGCTTGACCTTTGACAACAAAGGAAACACACACGATCAGGTGATAAATAACCAAACTGTAGCCCCGCCCCCTTTTCCACTTCCTCTCCTGAAGGTCTTCTAGCAGGGGTGATGGTCTGGAACTCTTTTCCTAAAAGGAACAAAGAAAAGTTCAGTCCAAACGTCACCAGGTCAAAGAGGTCAGTTCTTTATTTTTCAGCCACTGACCTGGGAGCAGCTCTGATGATGTCATCAACTCTCAGGATCATCTCCGCAGCCTCGGAGGCGCTCAGCAGCACCTGACGCTTCACCTGGAACGACTCCGTGACTCCCAGCTCTGACATGTCGCCTACGGTGCCTTCAGTCATGTCTGTGGGGAACCACAGTTTTAGCCACGTGCTGCCCAGGTGCTTTTCAGGTAGAAAGTGTTAGCATAAGGGAAGCTAACAGCTATTGTCAAGCTAACGCATACAACGCTGTTAGCATCGCTTAAAACTCACTCAGTCCAATCGTGTTCTTGCTCTCCTGGTGCGCAGCTCTGAGCTGAGCCACCAGGTCGGCGCTGTCGTAGCCAGCGTTGTCGGCGATGATGGTGGGAAGCTGGAGAGGAAACAAAAGTCGTTTTGTAAGATTTGTACAAACGACAAAACTGACCGGTGTCAATCTGAGGGTCGCGGTACCATGGCCAGGGCTCTGGCAAACGACTCCATGGCCACCGCCTCCTTCCCTGGCGTCCGATTGGCCAGGTCCGTCACCACTTTAGCCATCAGCATCTCAGAGCAGCCTGCAGAGTGAGGGTCGGGGTCGGGGGAGGAAGTGACTTATTAAAAACGTTTCAGAAGATACCGAGGCAGCAGAGGCGCGATGATGTCACCTCCTCCGTAGACGGTCCGCGGCTCCTTCACGGTCTGCGCTAACACACACAGCGCGTCGTGCAGCGAACGCTCGGCCTCGTCCAGAATCTGCTGAGTGGCTCCGCGCAGGATGATGGTGCAGGCCTCACCTGGAGGGGGGAGGGGGGGAGAGGAGGGGGTGAACCAGGATCTGCTAAGACTGACACCAGTCTGTACTGGACCAGCGTGTGGTCATGTGACTTCTTACCCATGGCCACTCCAGAGAAGTGGATGAGCAAGTCCTCCCCGATCATCACCTCCTCGATCAGTTTGCAGTGACCCAGAGTGACCAGCTCCGGGTGGTCGAAGGTGGAGGTGATCTCTCCACCTGCACACCACCACAACAACAACGTCGTCAACAACAACAACAACATCATCAACCACACCAACCACACCAACATCAACCAAACACCAGGTTTTTCTCCAGCAGCAGATCAGAATTTTCACATGTTGTTTTAGGATGTAAACGCCGACTCCCACGTACCGGTGACCAGCGCCAGGCGTTCGACGCCGGCAAAGTCGGCGTGTTCGATGGCCATGACCCCGGCCTGAGCGAAGAGCTGCTCTGGGTAATTATAGATCAGCTGTCTGCAGGAGCAACAGGAAATGACACCGTTAGAGAGGACGCCAAATCAGAGCAACGGGCCACGCCCACGGCAGCAGGAGACGAGGCGGGGTTTTCAGACCTGTTGATGAAACAGTTGATGCCGTGTTTCAGGATCCGGTCAACTTTCTCTTTCATCTTCTCCTTCTCTGCCTGTTCGATCTCCGCCACCTTGGCCATGGAGTCCACACGAACTCTGGAGCCAAAGATCTGACACACACGTTCACAGGTGGGTGGGTACTTGATAAAAGGCCACAGTGGGAGCCTCTGCTGCCCCCTGGTGGTGATTAGGCAGTGAGGTTTCTTACCTTGATCTTGTCCGTGTCCATGCCAGTGTTGGCGATGAGGATTTTGGCGTTCTCCACCCTCTTGGGTTGGTTGACGCCGATCTTCTTGTCCAACAGGAAACCTTGAAAACAGGAAGCGTGCACTCATGACCTCATGACCTCATGACGCCGCTGAGCCACGAAACTCTTTGTGAGACGCCAGTCATACCTTCATCCAGGTACGAGTCGGTCAGGCTGCCGCCCAGTTTCTTGATGATGTGGATGGCCTCCAGGTTACCAGAGCCCTTCAGCCTCAGGACGGCGTCCACAGCCAGGCGTGAGAAGTGGTCTTTATGGTGGGTCAGGAGTTTGGAGGACAGCGTAGTACGGGAGATGTTCATCAGGTCCTCGTGGAAACGAGGGATATCGTTGCTGCAGGAGGAGAAATGAGAAAAGACGATTAAAAAACCCAGAGTTTGAGGCTGGTCCGATCTTCTACAGAAAGACACTCCACCCTCTGACCTGTGGTCAACGGCTGCTTCTCTCAGGGCATCTCGGGCCACCTGAGTCGCCTTCCTCCAGCCAGAGATGATGGTCTGTGGGTGAATCTTCTTGGCGATCAGGAGTTCTGCCTCCTGTGTGACGAAAGTCAAGAGGGTTCTGGAGTTAAAATCTAAATAAATCTGTGGTCAACTCCAGGTTTGGTTCATTGAACCGGACATTAAACGGTGGTCAGGTCAGGACTTGGACCACTGTCTTGTACATTTATTTATATTCTTGTGAAGGCTGTGTTTAGAAGGACAGGTGTTACCCTCAGTAGCTCGGCCGCCAACACGGTGACCGACGTTGTTCCATCTCCAACCTCGTCATCCTGAACTTTGGACATGTCTGTCAACAACAGAACAAGATAAGTTGGTGGAACAAACGATCGATGGATTAAAGAAGAACCTTCCAGAGCCTGGTAGGGACCAACCACAGGCGTTCACATTCTGGACTCACCAACCAGAACTTTGGCAGCAGGGTTGTCGACGCCGATGGCCTTCAGGATGGTGGCGCCGTCGTTGGTCACCGTCACTGATCCAGATTTCCCTGCGCTGAGCAGGATCTTGTCCTGAGGTTGAAACATGAACCAGATTATGTCTGTACCTGATGAACAGGAAACAGAATTACGACCAATGACGTTAACCAGGACTGACCATGCCCTTTGGACCCAGGGTGCTCTTCACCAGGTCTCCGATGGCGATGGCGCCGATGAAGGAGGACTGCAGAGGAAAGAGCAGAAACAAAATGTTCAACACTTTGTTTTAATGCATTTTAAATAAAATATTAAAAACAAAACAAAGGAGAAAAGCAATCACCAGTCGTGCAGTTTCAGCTTTCTCTTCATCAGCTCCATGTCTGAAGATGTTGACGGGGGCCATGGATAAAGACGCCTACAGAACATGAAGAAGAACATGAAGCTTAGAAAACAGGGAACAAAGTCAACAAGTCAACATGAAGCTTAGAAAACAGGGAACAAACAACAACAACAACAACAACAACAGTTCATTTATTCTTCAACAGTGTGACAGTGTGCTGTCAATAAAGTCTAATCTAATCCAGTCTAAAATACAGACCACTACATCAGGAGGTCTATATACAGAAGTATATAAGAAAATACTCATGTTTAATAAAATATCATTTTCATAAACATGTCTAACGTTAAGTGTTTGTTTATTTTTTCATTTTCAAAACTTATCAAGCAGGCCGGGTTTGGCCCACGGGCTTTATGTTCGACACCCCTGGACTGCATCTCCAAACGCAGCATCTCTCAAGCCCCGCCCTGTCGTTTTAGAAACGGCTAGAAGCTTCCATCACAAATTAGGAATAATAACTAAAATAAAACAGGTTTATTGACTGAACTCCAGGGGAAAAACAAACATAAACATCTGTACCTCCAGTGTATCATGTATCTTCATTTTTAATTACTACAGAACTGGTAAGAGGATGATCTTCTACGGTCCGACAGCGACAAAGCACTGGTGACAAGCTAACTAGCATGCTAACTGACAATAAGTACGTAACGCTCCCAAACTGCTGTAACAACCACGTCGAAGTGAAAGGTGAACGGAGTCTTTCCCGAGGAAGAATCGATAAAACTGCATTTTTAATCTGACATTTAACAAAAGTAATGTTTGTGCTGTTAGTTTGTCTTGTAGCGCAGTCAAAACGCCCATGTGCTTCGACCGGCAACAGTTCCGTTAGCGCTGAGACTCCGGGCAGACGCCATGTTGGACAGAAAAGCCAAAAGATTCATATTTTTGTCACAATCCACGCAGGTGTGTGTTCGTTAAGAGACATTTGTGTTGAAATGGCGCGGATGGCTTTTAAAAAGAAATTATTTAGCAGTTTAGGACTCACCATGATGACTGAGCTTCAAGACTGGAGCCGTGCACGCGCAGAAGGAGGGTTTAACGGGGGATGACGTCATGACGCTAAACCGTAATGCTGCGTTCAAGTGTCCTTACGGAAAAAAGCCTCTACACGAACAACGATATCCCTATGTTAACCCTAACCCTGATTATAATTAAAAAATATATATTATTATTATTCTATAATTTTAACGTGTTTGTTAACTGTACAACACGAGTCTTCAGAACATTTACTCCAATCACGTGACCAATCAGTTTATTTTACAATTCAAATATATTTTACAGTTCAACAAGTCAGTCATAGTCAAACACGGTAAAGATTTGAGTTGACGTCATTTCCTCTTCCTCCTCCTGCGTTGATCACCCGGTGCCTGGACGGGCAGACAGTAGATGTGCATAGGGAACTTCCGGAAGTAGCTGCTGACCCACGGCCTGAAACACAGAGACTGGACCTCAGTCCTGTGTACACCCAAAGAACTGAGGAAGTGTGTGTGTGTGTGTGTGTGTGTGTGTGTGTGTGTGTGTGTACTTGGCCACTCTCTGGTTTAGACTCAGGTAACACAGGTTCTGCCAGAGCAGCATGTTCTCCTGTTGTTGGAGGAACTGGGTTTCCTGCTGTCGCTCCTCATCCAGACGAAGCTCTGCTTCTATACGACCCAGCTGACC